TGTGTGGGCGCCCAGTCGCCATAGCCAGTTGAAGAGAACTCATATCTGGTTACGATATCTTGAGTATTGTGTGGGCGCATGTCGCCAGTTGCTGTTTCGCTGTTTGCATACATGACAAGTGTGAAGAAGTCGAGTATGATTGCAGCTGAAGGCCTCAGGCCTTTATGCCCAAGATCACCAGTTCGATTCTGTGTGGCGGATTGATCCTGTTCAGATAACAATGATGGCAGATTTTTTTTTTTTTCCAATTTGAGGTTATGACCGTTCATTGGAATTAACGGAAGCTGTGTAATGGTCACAGTTCCCTCCCGGAAGATGGTGAGGTCCCTGGCCTCTATTTATCTTGTTCTTTTTTCTTTTCGTTTTTTTTTCTCTCTCTTGTTCTATAAGGAAATGACTTCAAATGAGTTGTTTTTCGGGAAAAAAAAAAGAAAAAAAGCTGTTCTGCAAGCTGTCTGTCAAGCAGAGTGGGATAGAGATCATACTCCACTATGGAAAGACGAATAATAATTCAATAATTCCTTTTCTTTTTTTTTTTCCCTTTTTCAGAGTTTTCTTCCTTTTTTTTTTGCTTTCCTTTTCTTTGTCCTTTTTTTTCCCTAATGAGAATGTGCAAGTGATTTCTCAAGGGTGTTTGTTGACTTTAGAATGCTGATGATGCTCTTATGTTGATTATGGTGGTGATGATGATGATGATGATGACGATGACAATGACAAGAAAAGTGACCGTACTGATAATCATCATCTTACTTGTGCTGAAGCTTTGGCACTGATTGTCTAGTACACTTTCCTAATTTGGAATCTTCGTCGGTATCATCCTTTGGACAGGGTATTCATCCAGTTCCAGCTTCTTTTGTTGGGGACCAGATTGTGTCAGTTCTCACAGATATTAAAGCCGATGTGGTAATGATCTCTCTCTCTCTCTCTCTCTCTCTCTCTCTCTCTCTCTCTCTCTCTCTCTCTCTCTCTGTGTTTTTGTCTCTCTCTCATGCCCTCTTCCCCTCTGCTAATATGCCTTCTTCCTACTCGTTCTCACTCCATCTCCTCTTTTCTTGTTCCTCCTAGCTCCATGTCCTTCCTCTGCCTCGTTCCTTCTCTCCATGAGTGGCCTCCAATAGTTTCTCTCTCGTCAAAAGGTTGCTTTCTGCTCTCCTTCCCACCTTCTCCCTTCCTTTCTCCTCCTTCCTGCTCCTCCCTTTCTCCTTCCCCCCTCCTCCCTCCCTCCTCCCTTTATACTCCTGCCATTTCGCATTTATCCTCCTCTCCCTTCACCTTGTCTGAGATTCCTCTTCTCCCTGCTCTTCTCCTCCCTCCGCTCTCCTCCTTTTCTTCCCTCCCCCCCCTCCTCCCCCCCTCGGCATTGGATGTGCTCTCATCAATCTACTTTT